ATCGACCGAGGCCAGCGGTGATGAGGCCTCTCAGTAGTCGAGAATCGGCCGAGGCCAGCGGTGATGAGGCCTCGGGCGAAGTCGGAGAATCGGCCGAGGCTCATGGTGATGGGGCCTCAAGTAGAGTCGAGAATCGGCCGAGGCCAAAGACAGCATTTAGTGGTTTCGATCTTTACTGAAATCTAAGCGATGCTTTTTTTGGATCTTGCTTAGGGTACCCTTCTCACGGTGTCCGGCATGAAACTCTCGTGATATAAATGTATCTTTGTAATTATTTTGTTAGTTTTGTTTTTTTAAGTGAAAGAGCATATCCGGTGATGGCAAAACCTAGTCCAAAATACATTAAAGAAGGATGTCAATAATTTGGTCAACCTTCATCACGCACCAATGTTTTCAAGTCGTCTAGTCGAACCTAGTCGTCATGGGACCGACTAGGCAACTAACCACAATTACTCGTCGACTAGGTTGATTAGTCTAGCAAAGTGGATTGCTTCTCTTTCCTTTGGAACCAGAGAATAGTAGAGGGACAGCAGTACAGCACAGCAAGCAACCTAGCAGTCTAACAGAGAGCCAGAGAGGCTGCAGAGTGAGGGATGGGGGAGGAGGGAAGAAGATGGAGAGGGAAAGGCACGCACTGTCAAATCGTCGAGCAGCTCATCACGAAGACCGCGGCCACTTGACCTGGCAGAGGGTGTCGTTGGCTTCACAGCTCACCAGAGAGGAGAAATAGCGTGCGAGGGAGGGGAATAGCTCACGAGAGAGAGGGAATCGCACGCGGGAATGGGAGGAATCGCGTGCGGGAGGCAGGAAACGCGCGCGTGAGAGAGTGCAGGCGAGTGGGAAAAATTTGCGGCCGTCTTGCGTTTGCCACTGTGCCTGCGTGCCTCTGGTATTTTGGGGTGCCTACTCTAACTCTAATAGGTCAAATTGGAAGCCTAATAGGCCACATATAGACCCGGTTGAACAGGCCCAAAAAAACAAAGCAACCACACTGGTCGTCCATGGCCTAGTCGGACGACTAATCGTGATTAGTCGTCGACTAATCGGACGATCAGCTTTCTGGTCGAGCTAATCGAGTCAGACCTCCTAATCGAACACCAGGGACCGATTAGGACGAGTAATCGTGATTAATCGGATAACTTGAAAACATTGTCACGCACACACACCGATACCACTAGACCATGCACTACTTCTTTTATATCAAGGATGGCGCGTAGTGTTAGAATTAACCTCTTCAATCCTATGGGCCCGTTTGGTAGAGCTCTGGCTCCAGCCAAAACAATTTTAGTTGTGGCTTCACCTGTGGAGCAGATTCACATAAGGAGTTGAATCTGTTTTTTGGACCGTTTAACAAAACAGCTTCTCCTTATGATGAAAAGGGATGAAATGTCCAAAATACCTTTTTTTTCTTTTTTCTCCTTTCATTTCTTTTTATTTATTCTTTTTTCTCTCTACCTTATCACCCCGCACACGGATAGGCCCCGCGTAGGTCGTTGCTCCCCTGTTCCTCTTCCCCGTGCATCGGCTTCGTCGCGCCTCCCCGTGTCGAGGCCACGGCTCCCAGCGCCTCCCGAGCAGCGCGCATCGCCCTAGCCCTGCCCCCGCATCTCGCCACCCCGCGCGCCCCACAACCTCCACGGTTGCGCGCCTCACCAGCACCGCTGCCTTGCGCTGCCCGGGCGAGGCCCCGCTCCCGGTTCCAGCGGATCCGGCGCCGGTGTCCAGCAGACGCACCGCCGCCGCCCTCGCAGACGCGCCGGGGGCAAAGGAGACCCATGGCCGCGATGGGGCCCGCTACTGCTAGAGGAAGCCAGAAGAAGCCACAAATTTCAGCTCCTACTCTCTCTCCTCCCTTGTCTCAGCAGGAATTTCGGGGCTTCTTCCTAAGATCTGAGCAGAGGCAAACATTACATTTAGTTGCTGTTTATAAACTTGAAAATATTTTAAGTCTTTGAGCTGAACTTGATTCCAAGTTGTATTTCTAGGCTATTAGAAATGTTGGCTAGCAATGTTATTTTTCCACGTCAAGTATTTCATTGTCATCTACAAGTTCATATTCCAAACTTTGTTTAAGTGCTACATATATGTTCTATAGTGTTTTTTGTTTAATAAAAATTAGTTTTAAACACTACTCGATACATATGAGTTATGGAATAGCTTCTCATTTAACATTTTTATTGATCATCTTAAGTTACAAAAATGTTATCTACACATTCCATCACATGCATTATCACATAAACATGATGCTCATGACATGATTTGGTAATTTGTTTAGGGCGTAACACCGAGGGTGTTATATTACTCTTGGTATTTGCTAGCACCTAAGCGGACTAGTGGAGGACTAGATGACCTATGCAGTGGAGTTTCTTGGGGGAAGCTCCTATTGGTGTGCACGGTTGGATATCTGGTGATCCTGAGTGGAGAAGAGGTATTCACTAATGGAGACTTGAGCCTTGGTGATTCAAGGGAGCAAACACAAGTCTTGGCAGCTCTTTGGTGCTCCAACGCGAACTAGGGAAAGTGATACTACTCGATACAACAGGAAAAATCCGGTTGCCTCTTGTCCTTTGTTTCATTATTGCATCACTTTCATGTCTTAGCATAGTGCTTTGCTCTTGTTTGTGTGCTAAAATAATGTGTAACAACTATAACTTCTTCCATGATGAGTGTGCTTAGTTATAGGTTTATTTTTATAACTGAAGATCCACTTCTTAATGTGAATCTTTAATAAGGACATAATTAGCTTGTTGGTTATGTGTGATCTTTTTTGTCCTAAGAGTTCACTATGCAAGTGGATGAGTAAAATTTGTGTCCAATTCACCACTCTTGAGACCTTTGGTCCTTTCGCTAGGCTTGACTTGAGTTCTCGTATTTTTCTTGGCTATTTTATGAAGAAATAGCATTATCGACTCAGGGTATGGCGATATGTATATTGACAACGAAAACTAATGATTTTATCAATCTCATGTTTCAAACTTATCATTCGAGAAATGCTCATAAACATAGGGTGTATGTACAGTATACTGTACGTGTATCCGTAGTAGTGAGTTGCTTACCAGTATCCGTAGTAGTGAGTTGCTTACCTGTATGTGAGTGTTTTTGTTTATGCTTTGTCGGGGGAAAATAGCTACGAACTAGCCTACAAGTCTTGCTGACATGGCTGGACCCATGGTTTCCTGGGTCCGTAGTTATCCTATTTAGGGCATGCACAAAACGTAGTTTAGATGCTAATAATTATGCCCAAGCACATGCATGTTAATCATGCAATACTACGAGCATCCACAGCAGGTCTAGTCATCATCCTCGTTTCACCTATCAAGCACAACAACAACACTGTATTGCACTAGCTAGTGGCTTCGATCGAACTTTTGTTCAACCATGAATCATTAGCATTTGCACAAAAGCTTTATTCTGAAACAAAGTGGTGTATTTAATCATAATTCGAATGCCACTAGTACCTGTATAGAGCAGAACAGGGACACCTTTGGTTTGGCTCAAAGCCTCAAACCTGACCCTGCCACTTCCCACTAGAAATATGTCTTTTCATAAAGCTTGAATGGAAAACAAAAACATGACAGTATGCAAGTAGCACCTCCAATTTTGACTATATCAAAACTTACGTGAAGGCTTATAGTAAGCACAAGTTTAAGGCATTTTCCCATTTTTTTTCAATTGCAGATATTATTTGTTGCGCAGTAAAGTTTCCATTCAGACTATTTGAACTTGGAGGTTTCGGTTCCACTCTAGAAATATGTGGAATTTAGTTAGCATACACCTTGAAATAGATTTATTTTAATCTTTCGCTTTTTTCTTTTAATTAATTAAACATAACGAAGTGTGCACATCTTATGAAAGATTGTCAAAGTCACCATAAATATCTCGCTTTGGTGTTGTCGATGGGCACAACCATACAAGTCAGAAACTCAATCCTAGGTAAACATGTTTCACCATGAGAAACATAAACAACCAATAGCAAGCTCGCTGTTCTATAAAAGTTTGATGTCAACAAGTTGTATTCAAACCTCTCTAGTGATAAATGCTAATCCCTCCAACGATCCATGCCAATTATTAGATGAACCAATTCATAGTACACTTCATGGTGCTATGTCTCTACATGGTTAGAAATTGGATGAAACTTAGACGCTACTGGCATTAAAATTTAAAATTCTATTATTGTAAGCCTAAAAGATAAATCTCGGATGACATGTGGCCAGCCATAGCAACGTTAATACATACCGTAGTTATTTAGAAATTTATCCAGTCATATGAAAACTCCGCTATATGCAAAGTCACGGTTTTGTTGTAAAGACCACACCCATAGAAGTTTATCTTGCCTTAAGAAACTCACATCTTGCGCGTAAGTCGCGCTTTGGTTACAATATTACACACGTGGTTCTTAGAAGTTTATCCTATACCTCAGAGAAAAATCCATGTCTGTCTTAAGTCACGCTTCAGACGGAGTATACAAGATCACACACACGCGGTCGATAGAATTTTTTTGCCGCAAGTCGCGGATGCATGTAAAAAACAAGATGCATGTGGAGAAAATGATGAGGACCTCATGGTAATTATATTTTCTTTGCGTGTGCCAAACCTTAACCACCGGAAAAGCAACGGAGGACAGTGGTGGTGCTTTCCGCGCAACCCTCCATTATAACGCCCAAAATACACGCGGAAAAGCAAGAAGCGTGAGCACTTCCCTTATCGTCTCCTCCTTTCCTCCCCCGCAACCCCGATCGAATCGCTCGAACCATTCCCAGGTTTGTGCATCGATCTAGGCTTGCGCGAGGATCCAATTCCATCCCGCTCCCCTTTGAGCTTGTGATCCTCAGGGTCGGAGGAGTTCTTCGCTAGTCTTTTTTCCCCTGATTTCTTTTTTGGCTTATTTGTGCGAGCTTTCTCAAGAGCAGAAGAGGCAGTTTGCAATTCCGATGCATCCAGGCTTCAAGATCCAATTCTGAGGCCTTTTCCGAGCTATCCGCATCGATCTGCGCGAGAGGATGGGTAACGCGGGTAGCAACGGTGGAGGCGCCGCCGCTGGTCACCGCCGTCGGAGCTCCGGCCACGGCCACGGCCACCACCACCAGGCGCCGCCGCCTCCCCAGCCGCAGGAGACTGCGCCCAACCGCTACGTGTTCGCGGCCGCCACGCCGTACCCGCCCCAGTACCCTAACCCCAACCCGCCGCAGTACTACCCGCAGTACGGGAACTACTACCCGCCGCCCCGCCATCCGTGCCGGTGCCCTTCCGGCGCCGTACGACCACCACCACAGGCCACCCACCGCCGCCCCCGGCGAGTTCCCGCCCCCGCCCCCCGCCCACCCCCACCACTACCCCGGCTGGGCTGGGCGGTATCCCTCCTACGGACCGCATCTGCCTATGCCGACGCCCTACGTTGAGCACCAGAAGGCCGTCACTATCCGCAACGACGTCAACCTTAAGAAGGAGACGCTTCGGATCGAGCCTGATGAAGAGTGCCCTGGCCGCTTCCTCGTCGCCTTCACCTTTGATGCCACCGTCGCCGGCAGGTGCTTATTCACTTATTCAATCCACTTAACATTAAGGGACCCCTAACATTAAACATATGTTGTATTATAATTTGTATTTCATGTGTACATGTATGAAATTGCTGCAATCTATATTGTTTTGTTTCGTTATTGTCTATATTGTTTTGCTTTGTGTATTGATGTTGATGTTTTGAGGAATCAGCCTCTTGTGATGCTGATGCTTTCAGTCCTTGAGGTTGGGGACCTTTTTTAGTTATCGTTGACCTTCGTTTATTTGTTGACTGAAAATTCAATTTGTAACTAATAAAAGAAACTAGATAGAACTATACAAAGGGAGCACCCTGTCCCCGTCTAGAGACCTGTTCTTTATGGAAGCATACAAGCCAACAATAAGTTCTCCATTATGCATTAACCTATCACAGTATTGCCTTAATGTTTAGCTTCTCCTCTTTTCCCAATCCGAGTATCTATTTATCCTTGTTAGTAGATTAGCGCTAGCCCTTAAAAAGGACACTGCAGTATGCAAGCCCTAGCTACGACCTTCTGCATAAGTTCTTCGCTCTAGAGTCTAGACCTGTAGGGTGATCGTGCCTTGAAACTTGATTGGAGATATAACACACTTTTCTCAGTTAAAAAATGAAATTTGATGTCAATCGTCAAGTTTACACTAGATGCCCTGCTGTCAAATGAATGGTCAGCAGTTAACACTAGAGATTCTGTATGCCCTAATGTCTACCACTTTTGTTCTCGTGTATCATTTCCTGTTCATTGATTCTTAACTTGATTGGCCCTGCATTTAAATATTTCGTTCATTACCAGGCATGTACTAAATACTTAAGCTTTCAACAGCCTCAGTTGTTGTAGAGCAGCATTACTAGTTACTATAGGGTCAAAGATATAAGCCTTGCTTTAGTATTAATTCTAATCTTCCATGACCATTTTGGAACATTTTGAGCCCAACCATTTTTGCAACATGTCGGTTGTTTGTTAGAAGTTGGTACTTATTGTTGTTGCCACCTGGATGTTTTAATTTATCCTAAATCTTACAGTGTAACGGGGTCCAAAATTTTTAACGGCGGAAGAATCTGTGCATTTGTATGGATCGCAATATTTCTTGAATCATAGTTTTCATAATAATATGATCACAACTTAACCCTTTGTTCAAACATAGTATACTTCTACGTAGTTTTTGGTTGTAGTGCTTTGTTGTGCTAAAGCTGCACAGCTATTTACTATATAGGATATTCGCAATCTTTATAGCATGAGACAAACCTTGCTGCTTGAATTTCTTATTACTAACAAAAGAAGTTCTATTCTTGCTGTTGTGTAAGGTGACCAATTTGTTTTGTTTGCTTCCTTGAACAGCATGACTGTTTACTTCTTTGCAAAGGAAGAGCTCAACTGCAATCTAACAGCAGCGAAAGAAGACCTAATTAAGCCCGTTACTGTTAGCTTCAAAGAGGGTCTTGGTCAAAAATTCAGGCAACCTTCAGGAACAGGAATTGACTTTTCAGTGTTTGAAGAATCAGATTTATTAAAGCAGGGGGACATGGATGTATATCCACTTGCAGTTAAAGCTGAAACAGCATTGTCTGTTGATCACCCATCAGAAGGGGATGACCAAAAGATGAAAACTCCTAACTCACAGATCACTCAGGCCGTGTTTGAAAAGAAAGAAAATGGGGATTATCAAGTAAGAGTTGTTTGCCAGATCCTTTGGGTCAATGGAACTAGGTATGAACTGCAAGAAATATATGGCATAGGGAACTCCATGGAAGGTGATGCTGATGCAAATGATCCAGGGAAAGAATGTGTTATTTGCCTCTCAGAGCCAAGGGATACTACTGTCCTCCCATGTAGGCATATGGTAAGTCTGCTGGCAATCTATTCAAGGACTGCACTTTTTTTTAGAAACTAGCGGTCTATTATTGAAGTAACATGGTATAAGTTTTCATTATTTGACTGTATTCCAGATTAAACACAGAGTTATCTTTTGATAATATATGCTTCCCAAATTCCCAACTATATGATCTACAGTATTCCATATTCGGAATATGGGTCCAGAAAAGCGGGCAGTACCATACTGATGTCTAAGCAACTTCCATTTTCTCAGAACTGATTTAATGTTGCATTAGCATATGTGCTAAACCCTGACATTTTATTTCCGTCTTTACTGCAGTGCATGTGCAGTGAATGCGCCAAGGTCCTGAGGTACCAAACCACTCGGTGCCCCATCTGCAGGCAGCCTGTTGAACGTCTCCTGGAGATCAAAGTGAACAACAAATCTGAAGAGCAGCAGCAGACGCCCCAATTGCCACTGCTCCCAGCCCCAGCTCCGCAGCAGGAAGGAAGAGGTGTAGCCGTGATCAAAGTCAGTTCCAAGACGTTATATGGTTTCTAGTTTGCGGCCTTCAGGCCTTTCCCTAAAGGTTTGTTCTCTCATCTGAGCAACGGGGAATGTAACCGGTACTTTACCTTTAGCCTATGTAAGCTTCTGGCATCGCATGGCTTTGCCGACCTCTGCTGCCCCTGCCTATCTGGAGGTCGGAGACCGAGATGCCAAAGCGAGTGTGTACCATATATACATCATGCATGCGTGTGCCATGGCTACCTGAAGAAGCGTAGCGAGGAGGATTCCTCATGCCTGGTTGACTTCCTCCAGGGGAAAAGGGGAAGAGAAGGTGGTCTCTTGAATTTGTACAAAAAATGACTGTATTTCACCTTGATTCCGTACCTTCTCTGTTATGCCCTGAAAAGTCGACGAGTATTACTTGCGTGCGAGTCAAAACATTCCAAGTGCGATAGCTCGCCTGGTGGTGAGAGATTTGTGTGGCCAGACCGCCAAAGTCCTTTCAGCTGCGCGCAATCTTGTGCCGATCTGCTGTCAAACTAGGGTTGTGAATTTGTGATAGACGGTGGGTATTATTAGTAATATCCATGCTGGGCGACTACAAATGACAACCCGTTTTTTTGGATTCTAAAAATCCTTTTGTTGATAACGCTCGACTGCACCAAATCGTGTCTCCAAAGATGCTCCAAATCATGCCGGGGGACTATAGGACGTCGTTATTAGCCTGTTCGGTTGGCTGGTTCGTATTGTTGCTGGTTCGTTTATGTAAGAGAGAAGTATTGCTGGCTGATTCATATGAACAGTATAGTGTCCATGTGAGGGGGCTGGCACCCCAGGCGAACACGCCGATGTTGGGAGCCTTGTAGTGACAGTAGGTGCGGTACACGCCGATGTTGGGAGCCTTGTAGTGACAGTAGGTGCGGTACCCATTCCCCCATGCGCTACTAATGGGACGGTGACAGGGCACGAGGACTTGGAAAATCTTAGATACCTGATGATGTGTCCAAAGAAATTTGAGAAAATTCCTTCAACGCCATTGGGACTTATACCTATCCCCTACTACATGCCACTGGAAATTATCATCACTTTCATTGAATTGCATTTTTATATCTCTTATTATGTGCCATTGAAGGCCTACAGCAGTTAGTTGATGACAGAAATTATAATTTATCCTTGCTATCATGACAAGCATACACTCAGACTCGATTACTCGAATAGATATCCCATACTAGCTCTCAGTCCACGTCGCGGGGGCCGAGAGCGATGAGCCGATGACGAAACCGCCACGCGCAGGGTCTCGTCCTGCGTGGTGCGTGGTGTGCGCCACGTCTGCGTCACCAAGAACCTCGGCGTGTACAGCGGCCCGGTCACACACACCGTCCCGTTCTGTGACGCCTGCAAGCGACTGCCGAGGCGCGGAGCGCATGCACGCCGTACGGCGCCGCGACATGCCCGACCACGGCCTCCGTAAGACGGACGAGACGTACTGTACGTGCCCCTACAGCATCCACCCCGGCAGCGAGTGGAGATCGACGAAATTTACACCAAAATTTGCCGTGAATCGTGAAACGGTGTCCCTGAGCAGCTCCGCCTTGCCGTTGCTCCCCAACGCCTCCTCGGGCTCTTGGCTAGCTGTGCGTCGTCGAAGCGCGCGGGGGGCGCCTGGTGAATCGAAGGTCGTCAAGGCCTGGAGCTAGCAGCGCAGCATGCTCGGCGCGCACGACCCACTTGGGGTTGCGCACGGAGACGGCGAGGGACCGGACGCATCCCTGGCCCGCACGGACAAGGCACATGTGCACCTAACACGGCCGATAGTGAAGCTGTATGTAACGAGGGGCAAGTTTGCCACCCCGCGACGGGCGTAAGACGCCCTCTGTGCTTCCACGGCTCCTCTCCCCGTCCACACTCCACACCGGCGCGGCAACTATCATCAGCACATGGGCCAAAGTAGCCACCATCCAATCCAATGACCGCGCCCACGTTGCAGCCGGTGTCCCCGAGGGCATTCTCACGGCTCGCACCGCGCGGGATCGGCGCCTTCCTCGAGTTTGCCCCTGCCTCCTCCCTCCGCTTCGCCGTGCACCGCTCGCCTAGGTCCGTCCAAATGGTCCCCTCTTTTACTAAAAATATTATAATATATACAAAGGATTACTTTTTTGGCTTGTTAGAGTTTTTTTTTTCTTCTCTCAAAATGAACTAGAAGTCAGTAGAATCATTTTTTTTTTGCTTCATGCATTGTAGCAATGCGACGAAATCGTTTAGAGACGTGCTAAACAAGGCCTGAACTAGCGAGCATACTTTTGGATCAGGTTGGCAGAACTCCCAACCCACTATCACAGTATAAGAAGAGGTGGCACCGTACCTCGTGGGTTACATATTTTTGCATCAATCCGAGCATGTAAATCGTAACTTTGAAAGCTTTAGTTGATTCTAATCGATTAGTTTGTACAAATCAACTAGCAATTTAAACTCTGAATCTTAGATTGTAATAACTCCGAGATCCATCTCTCTCTAGCTATATTTTTCTTCTTCTGCCAATCTTATTTTTAGAGACTATAACCTAAAAGCCAACCAACTTTCCAAAATTGATCCAAGACTAAAGGCCTATTTGGATCTACTAGTAGCTAATAACTTGTAGCAAATATTAGCTAGTTACCTATTAACTAGATGTTTGGATCTAGAGCTAAAAGATACATGTATTATTGATTGTGTCTATTATGTCCTTCACCTTTTAGAGGCTATTGATATAGCATGTAGATGTAGATATGTGACAGTAAAAGTGTCTTTCAATCTATTACATGCTAGATTATGGCAACTACTCCCTCCCTTCTAAATTATAAGTCGCTTTGACTTTTTTAGCCAAAAAAGTCAAAGCGACTTATAATTTGGAACAGAGGAGTAGTAAAATGGTTGGTGTAACAGAACCGACCAATTATACGGAATTAAGTAAGAAAATCATCCGCCAGAGCAGACGATTTAGCAAACTTAAGCCCGTATAATCCGGTAGTCCGTGAAATCACGAAGGATTTCATACCAACTCACATACCAGCCAAGATCGTAATAAGTTTAGCGGTCACCATCACATATTACATAAAAGTTTGCATCACCGGTACATCAGAGTTTAAACATAGTTATTACAAAACAAGTTCAAATAGAAGTAGCGGAAGTCATTTGTTCAAAACCACACACACTCACACGGAGTTCAAATACAGTGCCAGCTGATGATCATCTCCAACAAAAGCATTAGACGAGACGTAAGGAATGATCATGCCCATGGTCCTAAGCATCACCCATCGTAGGATAAAGGCAGTTGATACAGTAGCCGTAATACATCTGTCCACCTGCAACAAGTAGGAATAAAACCCTGAGTACAAGAAGGTACTCAGCTAGACTTACCCGACATAACCGAAAATAAAGTGACACCAAGGATTATGAAGAGCTTTATAGTAGGGTAGCTGACTCATTTGCAAAAAGAGGCATTTTTAATATTTCAAGAACCTTTCCGAAAGCATTATTGTCAAGTTACTTATTATTAACCTGTCGACTACATTTGCACCTATACTAGAGCAAGCACGTGATTAAGTAAATAATGATAACCAATGATCATTAACAACTTCCATAATGTCATATTCATTATAACTGTCCAAGTGTTCCATCAACATTACTACGATGAAGTCACTCAAGTCAAGTGCTCACTATCCAGGAGCGATGGCGATTCGAATCGATTCCTAACCAGCTGGTGATTTATTCCTTACACAAACCTCACTCACCCGCTAAAGTGAGGTATCAGTCACCGAGTCAACTATCCAGGAAAAACTCGAGTTTGCCAGAAACCATATGTACCGGGGGCCGACCGAATCGCCTTTCGGTCTTATCATCGCGCCCGTGTCCTACCACACACATCTCTTCCGATGACAAGGTCGTCATGGCAATCTACTCGGCCCGAATAATCTCCCCACTTTTCATGCGGTTTAAATATACTTTATTCGGCCAGCTAAATATAAGGCATGCGTTCAACATGACTCGAGGCCCAACAACGGTCGGTCCTTAATCGACACAGACGGAAAGCACTACAGTCCAAAACTCTATAAGTCTCCGTCCGGTCTCAACTTCAATTAACACTTAGTATACCATGACTACATAGTTATCCAAGCAGATCTAGGTAACCACCTATAGCTCGCAGGTGACAGGAAATCACCCGACTTCTACCGATCTAAGCCAGCTAAGCATTGACTCGACTGTGGATACCAGGGTAACAAGGATATAGTATAACAAAGGTAGACAAGGTATAATGCAGCAACGGTTGCAAACAACTCCTGAACGTAATGCATCAATTAAAGTAAAGCATTTAATTAATAATTGCAAACCGGGGAGAAAAATGCTCCGAGGCTTGCCTCTCTCGAAGGAGCTCGGGCGGTGATCAGGGCACTCCGGAAGTTCCTCAACGTCCTCCTCGTCTGCTTCGGTCACTTCCTGCGGCTGCACCTCGAGCTGCTCCTCGGGCTCCTCGGGTATGACGACTGGGCTCTCGATTTGCGATCCTGTATGATACAGGTGCGTAAGTGCTTATGCAAAATGTGCATCGGATGAAATGAACACAATGAATAGGCTTAAATGCAAGGTAGTCAACACCATCCAAGAACATGTACTACAAGCACATGTCATCTACTGCATTCTCTTCTACTACTAATATGCTAAGTCAACACATCTCATTAAATGCTTCAAAGATACACCAAAGCTTCACTAATTTCTTAATCATGCATAAAGCAACATTTGATTAAACCCTAATTAATAATAAGTTTGAATAGCAACATCTATTTTTATAGCATAGAAAAATCTTAGAAAATTACCATAGCACAGTACTACCCTAAGTAGTCTACCATTAAATTTTTATGGCATTTGGATAAGTGGATTAGCCTACACAAAAATGACAAGCTATGGCATAATTATGATCATGAAAATACTTTGCACTGTGAAAAGTGTCAAACAATAGATGTAATATTTTTCCTATGTTCTACATAGTAATTAATCACTGCACAAAAATTATCACA